AGCTGCTGAAATGTGCATCAAAATCGGCAAAATTGTCGCTAGTGAATTCGGTGCCCCAGCTGGCGGTGCCGGCATTGACCAGATTGTCATCCGCATCGGAGATGCCCGTCATGTCAGCGAATTGTACATCCATGTCCCAGGGATCGGCGGCCAGATTGTTGAGCGTTGTGGAATTCTTGGTGAGCATGCCATGACCATGGCCATCGCCGCTGCTGCCGCCGTGCTGCTCATCATCGTCATCATCATCGTCGTCGATGTTGCCACCAAACTGAAACAGATTCTGATCATTGTCCATGGTAAAGACAATGTCCTGCAGTGTATTATCCAAATCGCTGTAGCAAACATTGCTGTAGGAGAGCGCGCCAGTGTCCCAGGTGTTGGTTTCGCCCAGAAAATCCTTGGAGTTGCCAGCATTATACTCATTCTCCTCGTGCGGATTACAATTGGCCAGCAGCTTGTTCTGCTGGGATACCGCCAGCGTAAATTCACCCTCCTCGGCGTCGATCAGCGACTGCCAGAGCTGCAGCTCCGACTCATTGCCAAAGCTGGAGGCAATCAGGGTAGCGATATGTTCAGATTCTGATATACAATTCGTAATATGTCTTAGGATTTTGATCAGATGACCCATATAGCCAAGTCGTCGACCCTTCTCGGTGGATCTGTGTGTGTGTACAAATAATTAAGTGAGTTAATTGGGCCATTTCTCTGGGCAGCTGCTTTCTACTTACTGCGCCTCTGTATTGTGCCGCCAGTAATTGACCAATTTGGAGACCAGTTGGCAATTGACAATAAGCTGTAATAATCGTTCAAGTATATATAGTATTAATGAATAAGTATATAAATAAAAATGTTTGTACTATTTTTACTATGATGAAGGTGGAAAAGTTGCAAAAGCTACCTGAAACTTATGTACATAGATATTTGTTCAAATTCGTTTCCCACTTTTCGCCAAATTCCTCCTACTTTATGGAAATTGAGTCAAATATAAGTTGGGTGAAGTTTTACCCGGGCAAAGGGACAATAAAATTGCTTAATAAAATCTGAGCTAATACAAAACGATCTCTTATATAAACAAGGTTACATTTTAAATGTGCAGAAATCAGATACAATCAAAATGGGACCTAGGTTAGAGAACCCCTTAACTTACATATGTTTGCATCTCTGTGGGCGGGTTATTGATCGGCGCTTTGGTCTGGTCCAGATCGTTGAGCGTTGGCTGCGTTGCATCAGCCGTCGTATTCGCTTCCGCTTGGCTATCATTAGGAATAGCTGCAACGGCAGTGTCAGCGTCAGCGTCAGCGGCAGCAACAGTTTCTTCATCAGCAGCAGAATTGTGCTCAATGTGATTCTCCTGCGTGGCGGCCGTTGCTTCAGTCTCGCTGCTGTCAGCCTTTTCAGCCGCAGCGGCTGCTGCTGCTTCCTGCTGTGCTGCTGCAGCCTCGAATTCGATGTCCGATACCTGATTATCTTTGCCGCCCTCTGCGCGCTTTACATCGTTTAAGGCATTCTTCATTTCCACCTCAGTCCGCAGGGCATCATTCGTGGCCTTCATCAGGCAGTTGAATATGTAATCATCCTGGAATATGTCGGTGCACTCAGTGGAGGTGGTGTTGTTATTCGATAGCTCATTATAGAACACCAGATGCAATGCCTTCTCCAGCTCACTATGCAGAAAGTTGTTCCAGCAGTACTCCTTGAAATAGTCCAGCAGCAGGGCAAAGTAGTCTGTGGCACAGATGCTGCGGGCAAAAGTGGAACAGGATTAGCGACAATTGATGCATGCTTCTGGCCCAGCTGCAACTTACGCCTTTTGTATGGTCTCGTGCTTGGTCTCCAGCAGCGCGGTGAACACGCGGCAAACCTGAAGGCGCGTCTTGCCAAATGGCGGCGAGAGCACCGCCGCGGTCGTTTCCAGGTTCGGCTTCTGCAAGCATATTTGAGAAAGGGGTTTAAAAGGGGATTTTGTGGAGCCTCTGATAGAGCCCTGCATCGATTCAAGCGGATACTCGAACATTTAAGTCGAGTCAAGAGTCAATTGTGTTGCGGCTCGAGCTGTTTGCGTTGCGCACAAACCGAGTCGAACGAGTTCGTTCAAACTAATCGTACATACATGTATTGTCTGGCACAACACAAACACGTTTAGCTCGAACATGTCGCTAATTCGATCAGCTCGAGCTTCGGCTTTAACGAATCAAATATTCGAACACGGATTAGCTTGATAAACAAATGCTCGAGTCAGTCGGGTTACGTTTAAATACGACTTGAATGCAATGTAACCGATGCAGAACTCTAGTTCTTTGAATTATGGGACACAACACACCGCGGGCGGATTCTTTAGCACGTGCACAAATTCCTGTAGGCGTGGCGCTATAACCGTAATCACAGTCTCCTGCACTTCCTGATGAAATTCGCGCTCACGTTTCTGCAGTAAACGCTGGCGATCCGAGTTCGGCTCATCACTGCAAACAAACAAAGAGATAAGAGATTATATTTAGGGAATATTTGCGTAGCCGTTGGGCTGACTCACGTGAATGTAATGGGCTTGATAAGCGTAAGTACAACCGATATTCCTGATAAGATGGCGCTCTCTAGAGCGTTTGGTTCCAAAATCACATTTAACAAGGCTTCAATTGTCTGTGCGGATTCAATGGTACGCAATATGGGATTTGAGCCATCGAAGGCGGGCTCAAACGAGTCGTTCTCCTGCTCGGTTTGCCGCATAAGACGACCTTGGTTGATAAGATCACAGAAAAAGTCCGCAACATTTGCATGTTTATCGGTCTCTTGAGGATTACGCAATATTGCAATCAGTCTCTCAACAATTTTATCTTCGGTTAACCACTGGAAAAACCAATAATACAATTAAATGGTTATATTTAGAAAGTTATCAAGCAGCTGGCCTAGTTTCGGTTCCTTTACTGTGCTTTAAATATGCAATTAAAATAAAACTGGAACCGGAACAGGCCGCAATTATTATTAACTTTAGGCTTTATATAATTATACCCTTGTAGAGAGTCTAATAATTTTGAAATGAAATGTAAAATCTCCCATACTATATAGAATATATATATATATATATATATATTAGAAAGTCTTAACGATCGGAGTCGATATAACAATATCCGTCCGCTTTTCAGGAGGATCATATGTCGGAACTGGTCGGATCGGACCACTATATCATATAGCTGTACTAGGTTCGTTAAGTCGAATCTTTCTGTATGAAAAACTATCTATATATATCCTCCTTATCATTCCAAAAACCTCCTCACACTTCTCTACTAGGGTATATTTTAGGTTCGGCTTGCCGAAGAGAGTTGTTTCCTTTGGTTACTTCGTATAGGTTGCGCTTCAGTTGACCACCATCGATGTCCTTCATCATTTGCATTATTAGATCGGGTATGACCGGTGTGTCGAAGTGTTTACAAATGAAATCCAAAAAGTTCTTCTGCAATTTAATATACTCCAAAAGTTGTAGGCACATGTGTTGATACAAAAACCAATCTTGTTCAGGCTTTTTGGTAAAGAGCATGCTAAACGTTTTACTAAAAAACGATGATAGCAATGGATTTAACGGTGGTTCCTTTTCCAGATATGAATACAGCAATTGCAGGGTATCCGCATCGGACAGCAGTTTCTCATCTAGGGACGGCAGGCCGCTGAGCGGGATTCCAAAATAAATCGAAAATAAATCAGTATATGTCGAAGGAGAGGGGTTCGGTGGGGGTGCTGTGACTCTCGTGTAGTTAGAGGGGGGAGGGGGGCGTTACTTACAGTGTGAGTATCTCACATGACATGTTTGCATAGCGAAAACGCTGCGCCATGGGCAGATCCTCCGCGGGTTCCGTTGTGATTAGCTCGACGAGTCGTCTAATTACCTCGGGCCGTGTAAAATAGTTAACCAGGTTCTTTTTTTGCGTTTTGCATTCCTGCAGTATATCCTCCTCGTCCAGAAATTCCTCAACCGTGGAGTTCTATAGATTTGCAAAACTTTTATTAAACGCACACACACACACACACACGCAGAAAAACAACAACAACTAGAACGGAGATCGGTACGCACCTCCTTCTCCAGCAGCGCCTCTATGTTGGCTGAGGGCGCATAACCCTTGTCCCAAAACATTTTTCGCACGTACGTCTTGGCGGTGACACTTTCGGGCTTGGTGATAAGAATTGGGCAGCACGCTTGCTTTGTTTAGCTTTTAATTGTGTATTGTGTTTTGATGCACTGAACTTTCTTTTTAGCTAATTGCACTGCACAGCACTGCCGTATTTTTGCACTTTATAACAACGACTTGTAATAATTTTTTCCACCTAAAGATTGCGTTGACACGCTAATGTAAAAAGTGTAATGTTAAACTCAAAATGGTACTGTTGTACTCAATATGGTCACGTAATGCTCAAAATGGCAGTAACGAGAATTTCTGCGTTTATACGCAGCAAATCCATTATTGAGTTAACATAATGTGCTAGATGTTCGAATAGAGCGTGATAAACGTGATAATTACTAGTAAGCAGACTGTTGCAAAAATGTTTCTTTAGGCTGTAATTTATATATATATAAAATGGCAGCTCAATCAAAGTACATCATTGAATGATAGTTATTTTAAATTCTTTAGGTTGTGCACCTGATCTGTCAACAAATAGTACCTGATCGTGTACAGATTATAGCTCACAAATCAGGGCTTACAAGCTGCTAATTTCGCGCCTAGCTGTTGGTATTGGCGCTTTTACCTGTTGCACAAATAATAATGTCATATATTATGCACTGTAAGTATGTTTTATCCCAAATGTTACTTAACATTAATGTATAAGTTTCAAGATAACATTTTAAATGATTTCATGTCATGAATGTCTTTTAGCTTACAGTTCAATTACTGACTGTTATACTTGCACACTAACTGTTATATTCACAGCTGTAAATGTTAATAACAGACCGTGTATACCTGTTACTCTCTGCATGCAGTCACAGTTCCACCAATGGTGATCAGCTCTAATTATTGCAGCGTCGCCAAACCAAGCATAAAAATTGTCAATGTCGCTTGCTTATTTACGATTTTGGCAAATTGCCAGCAAATCAGGCGAATTATTAGTTAAATGTGTCGCACAACACCCGCGCCATGTATACGGTCAAGTCGGAAATCTACAGTGAGACCAACTATCAGACAACACACAGTGCAGACGGTCACATTGTCTCCAAATTCCGTTTTCGTTATCCTAACGTGAAGGATGACAACGCCAAAGCAACTGTAGACCATGATGGTGACCTTGAGGTGCAGCGTCCCAGGCGCGGCACCATTGAACTTGAGCATTCCGATGCCACAGAGCTGAAATTGGTGGGGCTGCAGGTGTGGCGCGGTGCACTGCTGCTGGCTGATTATGTGTTCCATCAGCGCGAAGAGCTGGCCAGCAAGACGTTGATGGAGCTGGGCGCTGGCGTGGGACTCACCAGCATTGCGGCCGCCATGCACAACGGCGGCCAGGTCTACTGCACGGATGTGAATCTCGGCAGCATACTGCAGCTAATGCGTCGCAATGTGCAGCGCAATGCCCAGCTGCTCCGTGGCCAGGTGTCGGTGCTCGAGTATGATTTCCTGGCACCCAAGTCCAAGCTGAGCGCTGAGCTGCTCGCGGCCATTGATGCCAGCGATGTGATAATGGCAGCGGATGTCATCTATGAGGATACGCTGACCGATGCTTTCGTGGCCGTCATGGAGCACATCCTTGCACGTGGCAAGCAGTCGGGCAGGCCCAAGTGCATCTATGTGGCCATGGAGAAGCGTTACGTCTTCACCCTGGAGGACTGCGACTCTGTGGCGCCCATGTGGGAGCACTTTCTCAGGCAGACGGCGCACAAGCCGTGGCTCATGGAGCAGCTTCCGCTGGACTTTCCACAGTATTTCGAATACGAGCGTTGTCCGCAGCTGATCCTGATGCGCATTACTTGCCGCTGATCAGAGCCCTTTTTGTATAGTTTATGCATGTAGAGCTGGGCGCGTGTCGCATTTCACGACACGAGCCACAATTTGCAGAAAAACAGGCACGAAAAAGAATATTAATTCAAGGAAGAGATGGGCACGAGTTGGCACGACACGAACACGAAATGAAACACGCACGATCAGAAATATCAATAGAATGTAGAGATGGTCACGAGTTCACATAACACGAACACGAACTCGAAAAGAAACACGCACATATCAATAGAATGTAAAGATGGGACACGCACGCGAAAAAAACACGCACGATCGGGAATATCAGCAACACGGCATGCACGACTTTTCGAACACTTTTGCTTACGATACAATACAAATATCTACGAACAGTAGGTTTATCCGTCTGTCTTAAAGGTATATTGATGTAGTCTGCCTAATCTATCTTTTATAATATATAATTTCTATGTTAAAGTCGTTCCTGTTCGTGTCCCTAAAGAGAACACGACACGCGCTCAACTCTAGTAAACATAATGAAGCTTTAAATCGTGAGGCCTCAAACTTACAAATAAAATGTTGTTAGATTTATTAGTCGTGTAAAGAGGATGCAATAAATATGAATATTTGATAATGTTAAACAATTTGCGCCCTGTGCATCACTTAAATTCCCACATTGTATTAGAAACTAAACCCAGTTCGGAGCCGGTGTTTGTCTTTGTCTTGTTGTACTCTGTCTGCCCAGCTAAATCCTAAGATTAAAGTTCACTTTAAGCTAATGTCATTATGTTATAACCCTGAACCCGTTCGTGTGCTGTCATTTTGTGCGCTGTGCGTCACAAGTCCTGCATGGCCAGTATGATGTTCTCCAGGGCCTGGCGTGCATCCGTGGCCGGAAAATGCTGGAGCACACTGAGCGCAGCTGCCGTATGCTTGCACTGCAGCTCCTTGGTCTTGGCCAGCGCCGGTCCGGCTATGACGGCCTTGTGTATTTGAACGTAGTCGATCAGTTCCACGGACTTTTTGCCCGGCTCGATCAGTGCATAGAGGCTGGGATCGTGCTCCAGATGGAACAGCACCGGCGCGCTAACCAGACTGAACGTCGTATCCAGCGGCAGTGTGGGACACTGAAAGATTTCCGCGTCAAGGCATGCCTGCCAGGCCAGCGCGAGATGCTTGCCAAAGCGATACGCATGGCGTTGCATCTGCTCGCTCTGGCCGGCCAGCTTGAGTGAGGCCTGACAGGACTTGCCCAGCAGGCTGCCCGCATTGAGTATATTGCGGCATTCCCATTCCTGCTCCGGATTGCCCAGCACCTGGCCAATGGGCATGGGCGTCATCACGTCGTGCTCGTTGAAGTCAACGGCCACGCTGAGCGAGGGACGCTGGAATGTGCCCGGCTTGAAGGGCAGCGGATTGTTCTGCTCATCGCGTTCGCCAATGAACTCGGATTCGGAAAAATCACGCACTGCCGACGAGATCAGCTCGACCACCTCCTGATTGCGCAGATTCGCTAGCTCGGCGCTGGAATGTCCCAGCAGATAGTCGCCGGTGAGCAGGCCAATCTTATTGCCAAACGACATGTCATCATAAGTGCTAACATCCTGGCCAGCCTGCGTGCCCGACTGCAAATTGACCACGCTCTGCGAACAAGCAATCGAATAGTTGAATTGAAGCTAGAGATTAGGAGCTGCTGCTGCTTAGCTGGAACTCACATTGTGCACCAGATGCGAGATGCGTATCATTTCCGTGACCTCGGCGAGGGCGCGCTGCGAATGGAGTACCCCGGCGCTTTTATCCTGCTCCACATCCGGTATGCTCGGCGCATGTCCCGCCGCCTTGGAAACCAGCAAGACGATCAGACCCCACGCCTGCATCGTGTTCTTGCCATTGTACAGCAGATGCCTGTTGAGTTTAGGAGAATCAATGAAGGGTATCTGGGTAGTCTGTTCAGTGCTGCCAACTGCCTCTTTTTTACTGCTAAATGTAGCTATTTTCGGCTGTTATTAGCCGGAAAGTTTTGACATGTCCAGCTGCCTATCACTTGTAGAGGGTACTTTAGGTTTGTCATGAAATTTGCGACATCTCCGATTGAATATGGTTTATATATACTCTTGATCAGTGAAAGAAGTCCTTCATATTTAACAAGCGTATTAATTTTGTTCACTTCACTATTTCCCTCACATATTTGCAAGGTCGTGCGTCAAAGTTTATGCAAGGTCGTGCGTCAAAGTTTTCGCAAGGTCGCGCCTCAAACTTCTAGAAGGGTATTCAAACTGCGGCTAGCCCTTCTCTCCTGTTAACATTGGATCGTTTGGCAACACTGCACACACACACACACTTCTATTTGCCGCGCCTACTCACTTGGCTGTTTTCATTAGGGGATGCGCACTGCCGACCAGCTTGCGCAAATGCAGCGCCACATTGGCGATCTCGTCGCTGAGCAGCCAGCGCAGGCTGAGAAAGGATGTGGGATAGCCGACAATGCGTTCCGCTTCGCTAACGGCACGATTCCAGTCGTGGCGTGGCGGCGGCGTTGCCTGCTTGCTGCTCACCGTTGACGTTGCCGTACCGCGTTTCTGCTGCTGCTGGGTGAAAGTTGAGAGCAGCACAGCAGGTGTGGTGGGGTCGCGGCGGCGCAGCAGCTGGCCTTGCGGCATCCTGTGCCGCATCAACTGTTGCATAATCAGCGCGCCAACTCTTTGCATCTTGTCTGTTCGATTTCTAGCTCGATCTCTATTGCACAATTTAATGGTTTTTACTGCAATTTGGCAATCCTCGTCTCTCGTCCGTTACACGCTGCTCGCTGCTTGCTGCTCGGTCGCCAACTGTTGAAAAGTGAAATCACAGTCGCTGCTCGGGCTTGACGTCGCGACGACGTCTGCTGCGCTGTTGTTGTTGTTGCTCTGGCTTCTTCGCTGGCGGCCCACTTTTACAGTTGGCACCGACGACAACAACGACGACGACGCCGCCTGTAAACCGTTTTGTTTGTTTGCTCTTGACTTGAAAACGGGTTTTGCGTATGGCTAACACCTGCCGCCGCACCTCCGACCATTATTTGCGTTGCGCTCATTTGTTTTCGTTTTATTGCATTCCAACGCGCAAAACAGCTGTTGCCTATCGATATATCGATAGTGACACTACAACACACTGAACCAGCGTTGCCAACTATCGTTGCCAGAAAGTAGCTGGGCACTCAATTCAAAATGGCTAAATGTAGGTTGAACAATAATTGGCAATGGGAATACAAAGTAAGCAAAGAGTTGCCACATAATCAAAACTCATATGGAAAAACTGTGAAGAGCAAAACAAATATTTCCCAAAGAGCGATAAAAAAATTGCCTAATTTTTAAATGTGCAGATATACTACGAAAATAGCTGAATTGGCAACACTGCACAAAGCATCGGAATTTCCATATCGATTTTAGAGATATCGTCGCAATTTGGCATGCATTTTGCTTAACCAACGTACTGGGCTCAGAATCGTGCAGAGTCGATAAAAAAAAGCATTGCATACTTTCAGTTTAACCGATGACCTTATCAATATTCGAATACCAAAATTTATATTATCAATATTTGGTTTGTTGATAATGAAGCATACATTATCAGTATGCAAAGGTCTTGCCATTGTCGAGTTTTGTTATTGATTGTTGTGTCTTAGTTTGGAAAAAACCATGTAAATGCCACGAGCGCAAATAAATAACGTTAAGAGTATTACAAGTAGTGTTCGGGTACCGTTATCAGTTTTGTCTAGCACAAATCAACTTGGCTTGGCGCATGTGCCGAGCATTCTGGCAGGCCATGAATGAACCTGAATTATGCTCAAAGCATACACCCTTAAATTGCCTTAACCAGAAATAACATAGCCCTCGCCCTCTCCCTCTTACTCGCTCGCTCGCTCGGTCATTCGCTCTCTGCGCGCAGCAGCTAACGGTGTATGCGTGGAGAAACAGTTAAAACGGCATTAAAATCGAAATCGATAAGTACGCAAGGCGTTTTGTGAGAAAAGCGTGGAAAAAAATAGAAAAGTTTGCTTTTAATATTGGGCCAGAAAAAAACAGTTTGAAATTCACAAATTTGGTTGGCAAACAGCAACCAGAGCATGTCCAAGAAAAGTGTTAGCCCCTAAAAATACCAGACATCGTAGTGCTAGAAAAAATGAAATATTACTAGACGAGCTCTGCTTGAACATAAATCGATATCAGCAGGGGAACGGACGGCCAGGGCCAGGGCTGCTGCTCCAGTGAAAATTTTCATATTGAATTTTCCAATATAATTTGCACGATTATGTAAAAGCGCCTAAGAGGCTGCATTTGCTCTGCTTGCCTTCTATTACATAAGTTTTTCATTAATATCAATTTTCCAATACCCCAACCACCCCACACATACCCTACACTTGCAGCTGCTGCTTAAGGTAATGTAAGGCCATTTGATTTGGAGCTCGACTAGAACCAAACGCTTCTCTGCTTGACAAAAAACCGCACTAGTTGCCAAAAAGCTAAACAAAATGCAGCCGCCGCCGCGCAAGGTAAACCCCCAAACAGCTGCCATATATTGCCCAACTGACATACCCATCATCATATCACATCATATTCCAGGGTAACTATGTGAAATTCCTGAAGAATTTGCACACGGAACAGGTGGCCAAGTTGCAGCTAAAGAATCAGCATGAATGCGATCTCCTGGACGACATCCGGCAGTTTACGCTCAAGCGATCCGCCATTGAGAAATCGTATAGCGAGGCGCTGCTCAAGATCTCATCGCAGTATCTCAACAAGAAAATACCCAATATACCCGACATTAAAATGGACGGCATGGAGGAGCGCTGGTAAGTTATCGGAACAGCTGGAAAACCGTTCTTCAATTTCCCAACTCTATCCAGGAACATGTGGAGCGTTTGGCGCACCGTCTTGGAGGAGAACGAGAAGCTCGCACGCGCTCGTCTGGCCGCCATCGAGGTGTTCCAGCAACAGATCGCCGACGAGTCCAAGGTGCTGCGGGATTACAAGCTGGCCATTGCCAAACGTTCGCTGGCCGGCATTGTCAACGTACAGAAGGAGCTGCACCTGAGCGTGGGCGATGTGGACAAGACCAAGAAATCGTACTTTGATGAGGAGCACTGCGCCCACGATGTGCGCGACAAGGCCAAGGACATTGAGGAGAAGCTCAAGAAGAAGAAGGGCTCGTTCTTTCAGTCCATCACGTCGCTGCAGAAGAACAGCGCCCGGGTCACATCGCGCAAGGAGCTGCTCGAGGAGAAATCCTCCGGAGCACGCAACGACTATATCCTGAGTCTGGCTGCCGCCAATGCCCATCAGAATCGCTATTTTACCGTCGATCTGCAAACCACAATGACCACCATGGAGAACTATGTCTTCGAGCGGGTCGCCGAGTATCTGATGCTAATGGGGTAAGTCCGGGTTCTGTCTATGATTAAGAATGGGACGGGGTTTCTCCCTACTAAGTTGTCAGCTCCAAGGCAAAGAATTAGGAAAAACAAATGAGGTTCATTCATGATATTTTAAATTGTTCCAAATTTCTTGATTCCGCTCGGGGACCAAAAGAATAGTTTCCACTTTCGGTTAAAGAGGGTTGACCTGAGTGAGACGCAGTAGGTACTCGAAAGATGAAGGAAAACAAGAGCTTAACTTGAACCCAGTTCCATTCCAAAAACAAAGCTAACTTCTTTGGATGCACACACAAAAACATGGCCAGTTTTTCCTGTGGCTAAGCTTCTTGCCTTAGTCCCACACTATGAGAACTTGGGTCTCTATTTCCCGATCCTTATGAAATATTCAGGGCAGAAATATGACACACAAATGTGTATAAATACTAGAGCCCAAGGCTATACCTCCAAAAGTTCCTTTTGTGTTTCATATAAAGCTAAACAGAGGAGATATCTAAAAAGTGAAGTGCCTTGGAGAATTTGCCAATTTCAAATTGTGCCTGTCTCTCTCTTATAATCTTCGAGATATGCTTAGAAAACAGGATTGCGATATCGATTTTTATCGATTTCATAGAAACGGGACAAGTTATTGATTATTTGAAATCAACTTGAAATGGGTCCACAAAAGGAGGAGATACGTTTAAAATTTCCAGGGTCTGGCTTTTGTAGTCTCTGAGTTCGTTGAGGTCATATAGGAAGGACAGACGGAGGGTAGAATAGATAGACAGACGGAGGTCATATAAGAAGGACAGTCGGAGGCTCGGACGGATAGACGGACTACGGACGGAGCTGCTTCTGCCTTGCCCGTAAATCCATTATTAATGGATTCGAGTCCAACAAAATTGTGTGTTCCTACACAGACCTTTCACTGCATATATCTGACAGTATTATATGATATCTCTGCAATCTTCTACAGCCGCACTGAGCTGCTAACCTGTTCGGCGACGCAGAATAGCTTTGGCAAAATTCGCGATCAAGCACAGCAGCTGACCCGGGAGTACAATTTGCAATGCTGCTATCTGTTCTATCCGGTGTTGAAGCAGCATATCCAGTACGACTTTGAGGCTTGCGATAATGATCCGGTGCGCAAGGTGACCACCGAGCATGACTCGGCTGCCGAGACGTTGACCAAGGAGGCCAAGAATCTGGCGGGTCGTGTGGTCAAGGAGAATGCCTCAATACGCGAGCATGCCAAGAAGTTGGCGTTGTGTCAATCGCTGCGGGATGCCGGCCAGCGCACAGATCCCAACGATCCGAATGGACCCGATCTGGATACGAAAATCGACGAGTTTCGCGATCAGATACGTCGCTCCGAAACGGAAAAGGCCAAGGCGGAGGCGTGCCTCCAGTGTTTGCGCGACGGCGGCATCAATGTAGACGAATGGGTGCAGGAGGCGGAAATAATGGGCGTCCAGGAGCTAACACGCTCGGCCAGCTCCATTTCCATGCGCACCGATGCCTCCGGCCAGGGTGAAAATCCCAGCTCCGATTCGTTCTACGACAGCGACAAGGAGGAGGCAGCCGGTGCCACGGCCGTTGCCGTGGCCAAGCCCAAGCCGGAGCAACAGCAGCAGTTCTCGCGGGATCGCACTTTCAGCGACAGCGACGAGGAGCCCGAGGAGCAGGAGAAAGCACAGTCAAGCTCGGCGGCACCGGCGCAAATGTTGAACGCCGGCAGTGCAGGCGGCTGGGACGATCCGACCGAGGTCAATTGGGAGGAGGCCGAGGACGACAAGGACGAGCCCATTGTGCCCGAGCCCAAGGAGGCCATCTTCAAGTGCACTGCGCTCTACAGCTACACGGTGAGTGCGACAGCTGGGTAGATTTTCATGGGCTTAGCTAATAGAGTTTCCCGATCTTAGGCTCAAAATCCCGACGAGCTGACAATTGTTGAGAATGAGCAGCTGGAGGTGGTGGGCGAGGGGGATGGTGATGGCTGGCTACGTGCACGCAATTATCGGGGCGAGGAGGGCTACGTGCCGCACAATTATCTGGACATTGAACAGGACGCGGCCGGTGGCGCCTTCAATGGTAGTTCTGGCAATCAATTGCGCTCACAAATCTCATTCTCATCTGTCGATTATACTGTTGACAACGAAGATCAGACCGTGGACTCAATGCAATCGCCCGACCAGGTATCGGTCATAATGGCGCCACAAAAGCGTCTCAAATCGGACGTCGAATGGTGCATTGCGCTCTACGACTACGATGCCACCGCCGAGGATGAGCTCACCTTCGAGGAGGGCGACAAGATCAAGATTATCACCAAGACCGCGCACGGTGTCGACGACGGCTGGTGGGAGGGCGAACTGGATGGCAAATTTGGCAATTTTCCCTCGCTGGTTGTCGAGGAGTGCGACGAGATGGGCGAACCGCTGAGCGAGGGCGTCGACGATGAGTCGCCGCCACCGACAGCCGCGCCCAGTTTTGCATTGCCGCCGGCGCCCGCTCTGCCGGCAGAGTATGCCCACGAGCTGACGGACATAACGGAGGATATGTTCGGCTCGCAGGATACGGCAGGTGAGTTGCCACACAGTGCGCCCCAGGTTAACTTAGTCAATAAATCTTTCTCCCTCTCGCCCGGCTGCAGATGAGGATCGGGACAGCGGCTATATACCCAATGGAGCTGCAGTGCCCAGCATGCCTCCGCCAGGTAATTGTCCTGGCCATCTACTTTCGTCTCTTCTCTGTTTCTCTATCCAAACTACGCTCTCTTTTTACATATTTATATAACACACGCCACATCGATCTCTATAGAACAAACATTCTCTTATGTATTTGTTTCATGTTTCACCAAAAAACTCGAAAGTACTCTTATACCTGCTTCTATATATTCTCTAGAGGTACCCAAACATAATCTTCAAGTGCAGCTCGTCCAACTACTAACCACCACTAACTACCAATACCACCACCACTACCACCACCACAACCACAACCAACTACCTCTGCTAAAACCTACAGATCTACTCCACACCGTCACTGTAACTATTCTTCAAACTAGAGCCCAGCATTGAGTCAACCTTAATCCCGGTCGGATACTCAATCGAGCGAGTCAAGACTTGAACATTTTTGGGCTCGAATTCTTCGAGTTGTACACAAAAATATGGAGTCTCTCGATTCGCCCGAAAGTGCTGTTCAATCGCGTTCGTTTTAAGTTCGATTCATGTGGTTGCGTTCGAGCTCGAACATGTTGCAAGCTCGAGCAGTTCGAGTATCCGAGTGTGAAACGAGTAATTTAATTGATGCAGGGCTCTATTTCAAACACATCCCGTTTAATGTGCTATCTCTTGATCGAACGAAAAAACTTAAATATTGTTGAACGTGTCCTAAGCAAGACCAGAAGCTAAGAACTAAAAACTAAAATTCTTTACAGTGTTCTTTAGGCTGCTTTACAACGTGTCTCCTCGTGTGTTGGTGTTTCCTGCTATGCTACTAATTACGATCTCTACGATTTTGAAAATTTTGTATTGGTTTTTTTTTGTATACCTTCTCGTTTTTAAGATTTTTTTCTTGTTTTTCGTAGCTAGTAATTTGTGTGTATTTTTGGCACCATTTTTTAACCAATTGGTATTTTTGGTCACAATTTGGTATCTATTTTATTTTACTGCTGTGTACAATTTGCCTTTCGCTCCGTGTATGAAACTTTGCGTGTCCAATGTTTCATATTTTAAATGGTTCTTAACTTTAAACCTAAAGTGTGCTGTTATTGCTTTCTTTAAGTGTGTACATATATGTACTAGTCTGCGGTTGCGGTTGGATATTTTCATAAAACTATCTTCAAAACCTTGTTAATATTCGTAGATTGTTTAATATAGGGTATGCAATAGTGCTGCTTGCTAGCTTTAATAATTTCTACAGATAAAAAATGTTGTCAGATTTCATCTTTTATCTGAAAATAAGTTAGCAAATTAGACAGTGTGCAGCCACTGTGAATACCCTATAGCAAAAATAATGTTTAATGTGTCCCAAATGTAGTTCCGTTAAATAAATTAAGTCGAGTCCAGTCGAGTGTAAACGACTGGCAGATACCCAGTACTTAATTATTAAAAATACCCTTGCTGGCTTTCCTATATAAGTATATTATTCCCTTTTCTGGCATTGAAGTTAAGCTTTCTACATTTTCGACCCCCAAGTGCTATCCATATATGTATTTCTTGGAACTTTTTTCTAATACATATAGCATGTGCATGCGCCCCAGTCGAAACATATAAATAAATGTAAATATATACAATATTCTTTTAAATTATATATCATTTATAATCCTTTTATTTAATTATTGAACCCTTTGTGTACAAATTTGTCTAGCTGTTGGATGTTTTCCACGTTAAAGATCTTGTTCCCTTAATCGAGTCTTTTAATATTTAATTGAGATTTCACTGCTCTCACTCTCACTTGATAAAGGGTTCTTAAAAATGCGAATTTATGATTTGAAAACCAAGTCCCGATTACTAAATCACGTTTTTCTCTTATTTATATTTAATGCTTACTCAGTGCTTATACAAGAGCCTGGCATGGAGGTAATTACAATTAAATACCATAATCCAAAATGTTTATGTGTGTAATACTTTTTGAACTAACTGATTGACTGGATTATTGACTGACGGACGGACTGATTGATTGATTCAGGGACGGAAAGACAGACGGAATGAGGATCCACGCTAAGATACGGTTTTTAAAATTCCACCAGAACGTGTGAAAAATTCGTGAAAAAAATTCGGCAAATGGGTTGCACAAAACAATTTAACTTTTCTGAAAATCTACTTAAGCTTGGTGGAAATGGCCGTCAAAGATTTGGTGGGTGAAGTTGTGGGTTCAAACCCATTTCGAAGCGTCTTTGCATTTAATTTGTATCACACTTTGCAATTTTCTCCCACTTCGGTGGAGAATGTAGACCGTCTGATCGGATTTGAATTCACTTTAGAGCCCTATTCCACCAGCAATAGTGGAAAATAGGCTGATAGCAGTTGAAGGCAACTTTTATGATTACCAACCGTATTATTCTTTCTAATGATCTTTGTGAAAATATATTCAATACGTCTTTCACACCTTTTACAAATCCAAGCCTCTTGGTGAAAAACGCGACACAAAGGCTTTAAGTGCGAGGGTTTCAAGCTTCACATTACGAAATTAAAATAGGTGAAAAATGTAGATTCAATGTTTTTATACTTAATGCCAGGTTGGAATGGGTACATTTAAATTTGCCGAGAGTCATGAATAAAAATAAATTAGCTAAAAAATTAAATAAATTTGTGAAAACTAATGGACTTTTTGTCTATTGCAGGACGATTTCAGTGACGATGAGAAGCCGCCGCCGTCGTTGCCGCCACCGCAGTTAGCCAAACCGGTTGAGGGCGGAACGGCGACGGCCACCACAGCGAATAGTTTGAATTTAGGTATGGCACAAATAATTGTTACCGCTGCAACCCCAATGGTTGAAGACGGTGCCGATAAATCTTTCCCACCAGTAGGCGAAAGGGACAATTCACAGCAAGCACAGAAGGAACAGAAACCGGTGTTGGATAAAAAGCCCGATATTGTCCCGAAGCCGAAGGCTAAAGTTGCGGCACAGAAGCAGCCGCCGCCGCCGGCAGCGTCCGCTGCCAAAGAAGGTAATATTGGTATTGGCGATGAGATGGTTGGGGTCGGTGGTGTTCAGTTGGTTTCCAATGTAACCATAACACTGACAGAGTATCCATCCTGTCATGCAGAGGATGAACAGTCTTCCCTGGATGGCAGCGACTCCAACGCGACCGATGTGCCCGTCCTGCAGCAGCCGGATGATCCGTTTATTGAGAAATCCGCAGCCGGCGCTGTCCAGGCTGTTGGCACAGCTGCTGCTGCTGAAGGCGGCAGCACTGGATTTGAGGCCGACTTCGAGGCCAATTTCGATGCTAATTTCGATGATGCATTTGCCGCTAGCGGAGCTGTCGCTGAACCTGCAGCTGCAGTGGGAGGCGGAGGCGGGGGTGGCGGTGGTGGCGGCGGTCAGTCGAGCAGCTTGGACTTGAATTGTGAGGCACCGGCCGAGGATGTTATTGAGACGCCCAAGCAGGTGGTCGGCGGACGGGCCAGCATACCCGAGGAGCTGGACTCAAATCAATTGGCACGCCTGGAGAATCTGAAAGAGTCGAATGCCTAGACAGCTAATGCCAATTCCCTAAAGGCAACAGTCTGGCAGTCTCTTTAAATGTTGTTCGTTATATTTTAGGCACACACACACAACAAACATTGAGCACGATAAACGTTCTATATAGGGACTAAAAACCCGAAGCGCTCAGCATGAGAACCACACACTGTATTCAATTAAGACAAGCAAAGCACATAAACTCTCACAGACAGGCGGGTCGCTGCGACTATACAATAAACACAGATATTCTAAGACAACGATACAGCTCAATAAACTCAAGCCCCGACCAGATCGGAAGGCCATATAGTAAAAGTTCTTGGCAGAAACCCTACTCTATCGATGCGGTCGTTGTAGTTCTCTCAGTCTCAGAAACGGATCTTCGAATATCAGCTTATAATCGAGCAATAATATATATATATATATGTATTTATATATGTATGTGTATATATCTAAGTCAACTACATATTAATACGTATTCTAGTTAAAATTATAGCCTATATTTATATATATGTGTGTATAATTTAAATGCGCTTGATTAACAGTACGAATACCAGCCAAAATTTCAACTCATAGTCAAATATTAATGTTCTGTTGCAAAAGCAAACGTAATTATGATAATATTAATTAAATATACTCATTGTTAGCACTAGGAATTGTGCATAACGTAGACAATTTCTTTTCAGCTTCAAATACATATACATATATATCTATGTATATGTATGTCTTCTTTATGTATATCGTTGTACACTGTTATTGAAAGTCTACTCAAATTAGTTCAATTTAGTTCAATTGACTTGTTTTGATTATACCTGAAATGCCTATTGAAATTTTTGCGAATCGTCTAGTTAAAATACTCAAAGCATAAATCACTGATTAACGTATGTAGAGCTCTCTTTGGGTTCAGTTAAATATAATAAATAAATATAATATAAATCAAATTATTGAAATATACCGCAATGTATTGTATGTTAATTTCCGGTGAGGCAAAGTTCGTGTCATAAGCAAAAACTTCTGTTTAAAGGATTAATAAATAAATAAACATTTCAAAACAGTAAATAACATGACTTTCCTTTCAAGCAACTGCGAGGAATAGGTGAAGAAATTAAATGAAAAAAGATGTAGGTAAAGAAATTAATATAAAAGGAAATAGTTAATAGATATAAATATCTAGCGGAAATTGTGACCCATGTCTATATACGAATCTTAAGGGCAAGATTTTAACATGAATTTCGACTAAAAAATATGTAGTCAGATGTAAATGCCATATTAATCTAGGGGGAAAACCATGAAGAAAAAGCCAAGCCTCGTGAAAATCGGTTGAGTTTTGACCAAGTTATGTGAATGGGAAATTTCGACCCATGTCTATGTCCAAAATTAGGGCTAAGATTTTGACATGAAATTCGACCAAAAATTTTGTTCTCAGATTTAAATGCCCGATTAATCTAGGGGAAAAACCATGAAGAAAAAGCCAAGCCTCGTGAAAATCGGTTGAGTTTTGACCGAGTTGTGGGGGTGGGAAATTCGACCCATGTCTATATACGAATCTTAAGGGTAAGATTTTGACATGAAATTCGACCAAAAATTTTGTTCTCAGATTTAAATGCCCGATTAATCTGGTGGAAAAACCATGAAGAAAAAGCCAAGCCTCGTGAAAATCGGTTGAGTTTTGACCGAGTTATGTGAATGGGAAATTTCGACCCATCTCTATGTCCAAAACTAGGTCTATGCTCAAAACTAGGGCTAAGATTTTGACATGAAATTCGACCAAAAATTTTGTTCTCAGATTTAAATGCCCGATTAATCTAGGGGAAAAACCATGAAGAAAAAGCCAAGCCTCGTGAAAATCGGTTGAGTTTTGACCGAGTTATGTGAATGGGAAATTTCGACCCATCTCTATGTCCAAAACTAGGTCTATGCTCAAAACTAGGGCTACGATTTTGACATGAAATTCGACCAAAAATTTTGTTCTCAGATTTAAATGCCCGATTAATCTAGGGGGAAAACCATGAAGAAAAAGCCAAGCCTCGTGAAAATCGGTTGAGTTTTGACCGAGTTATGTGAATGGGAAATTTCGACCCATGTCTATGTCCAAAACTAGGGCTAAGTTTTTGAAATGAAATTCGACCAAAAATTTTGTTCTCAGATTTAAATGCCCGATTAATCTAGGGGGAAAACCATGAAGAAAAAGCCAAGCCTCGTGAAAATCGGTTGAGTTTTGACCAAGTTGTGGGGGTGGGAAATTCGACCCATGTCTATATACGAATCTTAAGGGTAAGATTTTGACATGAAATTCGACCAAAAATTTTGTTCTCAGATTTAAATGCCCGATTAATCTAGGGGAAAAACCATGAAGAAAAAGCCAAGCCTCGTGAAAATCGGTTGAGTTTTGACCAAGTTGTGGGGGTGGGAAATTCGACCCATGTCTATATACGAATCTTAAGGGTAAGATTTTGACATGAAATTCGACCAAAAATTTTGTTGTCAGATTTAAATGCCCGATTAATCTAGGGGAAAAACCATGAAGAAAAAGCCAAGCCTCGTGAAAATCGGTTGAGTTTTGACCGAGTTATGTGAATGGGAAATTTCGACCCATCTCTATGTCCAAAGTAGGTCTATGCTCAAAACTAGGGCTAAGATTTTGACATGAAATTCGACCAAAAATTTTGTTCTCAGATTTAAATGCCCGATTAATCTAGGGGAAAAACCATGAAGAAAAAGCCAAGCCTCGTGAAAATCGGTTGAGTTTTGACAAAGTTGTGGGGGGTGGGAAATTCGACCAATGTCTATATACGAATCTTAAGGGTAAGATTTTGACATGAATTTCGGCCAAAAATTTTGTTTTCAGATTTAAATGCCCGATTAATCTAGGGGAAAAACCATGAAGAAAAAGCCAAGCCTCGTGAAAATCGGTTGAGTTTTGACCAAGTTGTGGGGGTGGGAAATTCGACCAATGTCTATATACGAATCTTAAGGGTAATATTTTGACATGAAATTCGACCAAAAATTTTGTTCTCAGATTTAAATGCCCGATTAATCTAGGGGAAAAACCATGAAGAAAAAGCCAAGCCTCGTGAAAATCGGTTGAGTTTTGACCAAGTTGTGGGGCTGGGAAATTCGACCCATGTCTATATACGAATCTTAAGGGTAAGATTTTGACATGAAATTCGACCAAAAATTTTGTAGTCAGATTTAAATGCCCGATTAATCTAGGGGAAAAGCCATGAAGAAAAAGCCAAGCCTCGTGAAAATCGGTTGAGTTTTGACCAAGTTGTGGGGGTGGGAAATTCGACCCATGTCTATATACGAATCTTAAGGGTAAGATTTTGACATGAAATTCGACCAAAAATTTTGTTGTCAGATTTAAATGCCCGATTAATCTAGGGGAAAAACCATGAAGAAAAAGCCAAGCCTCGTGAAAATCGGTTGAGTTTTGACCGAGTTATGTGAATGGGAAATTTCGACCCATCTCTATGTCCAAAACTAGGTCTATGCTCAAAACTAGGGCTAAGATTTTGACATGAAATTCGACCAAATATTTTGTTCTCAGATTTAAATGCCCGATTAATCTAGGGGAAAAACCATGAAGAAAAAGCCAAGCCTCGTGAAAATCGGTTGAGTTTTGACCAAGTTGTGGGGGTGGGAAATTCGACCAATGTCTATATACGAATCTTAAGGGTAAGATTTTGACATGAAATTCGGCCAAAAATTTTGTTTTCAGATTTAAATGCCCGATTAATCTAGGGGAAAAACCATGAAGAAAAAGCCAAGCCTCGTGAAAATCGGTTGAGTTTTGACCAAGTTGTAGGGGTGGGAAATTCGACCAATGTCTATATATGAATCTTAAGGGTAAGATTTTGACATGAAATTCGACCAAAAATTTTGTTCTCAGATTTAAATGCCCGATTAATCTAGGGGAAAAACCATGAAGAAAAAGCCAAGCCTCGTGAAAATCGGTTGAGTTTTGACCAAGTTGTGGGGGTGGGAAATTCGACCCATGTCTATATACGAATCTTAAGGGTAAGATTTTGACATGAAATTCGACCAAAAATTTTGTTGTCAGATTTAAATGCCCGATTAATCTAGGGGAAAACCATGAAGAAAAAGCCAAGCCTCGTGAAAATCGGTTGAGTTTTGACCGAGTTATGTGAATGGGAAATTTCGACCCATCTCTATGTCCAAAACTAGGTCTATGCTCAAAACTAGGGCTAAGATTTTGACATGAAATTCGACCAAAAATTTTGTTCTCAGATTTAAATGCCCGATTAATCTAGGGGGAAAACCATGAAGAAAAAGCCAAGCCTCGTGAAAATCGGTTGAGTTTTGACCGAGTTATGTGAATGAGAAATTTCGTCCCATGTCTATGTCCAAAACTAGGGCTAAGATTTTGACATGAAATTCGACCAAAAATTTCGTTGTCAGATTTAAATGCCCGATTAATCTAGGGGAAAAACCATGAAGAAAAAGCTAAGCCTCGTTAAAATCGGTTGAGTTTTGACCGAGTGATGTGAATGGGAAATTTCGACCCATGTCTATGTCCTAAACTAGGGCTAAGATTTTGACATGAAATTCGACCAAAAATTTTTTTCTCAGATTTAAATGCCCGATTAATCTAGGGGGAAAACCATGAAGAAAAAGCTAAGCCTCGCGAAAATCGGTTGAGCTTTGACCGAGTTATGTGAATGGGAAATTTCGACCCATGTCTATGTCCAAAACTAGGTCTATGCTCAAAACTAGGGCTAAGATTTTGACATGAAATTCGACCAAAAATTTTGTTCTCAGATTTAAATGCCCGATTAATCTAGGGGAAAAACCATGAAGAAAAAGCCAAGCCTCGTGAAAATCGGTTGAGTTTTGACCAAGTTGTGGGGGTGGGAAATTCGACCAATGTCTATATACGAATCTTAAGGGTAAGATTTTGACATGAAATTCGGCCAAAAATTTTGTTTTCAGATTTAAATGCCCGATTAATCTAGGGGAAAAACCATGAAGAAAAAGCCAAGCCTCGTGAAAATCGGTTGAGTTTTGACCAAGTTGT